CCCTCCCTGGACTTTGAGCTGGGACCGAGGGCGGTGGCAGAGCGGAGACCGGCAAACTCATGCCACACATGGGGCATCCACAAGCCCCAGAATAGGGCAAAACCCACCCAAACAGCCGCTGTCGCAGCAAAATGCTGGTTCCTCCCCCCTAAACCACCAACCTCCCCCTTTTTTGTGGTTTTGGGGAAAAAACCAAACCCTTTTTCCGGCTTTTTTCCACATGGTTATTTGCAGGCACCGGGCAGCCGGACCCGCTGCCGCCGCGGCTTGGGTCTGGTTTTGGGGGAGGCAAGTGAGAAAAAAGCCAAATTCCTCGTGGGTTTTGGCGAAGAAAAGAGGCCCTGGATGGGAAATGCTCCTTGAGCTGAGTGCAACCCATTAAAATCCCTTAAAAATCCTTTAAAACCCCTTAAAGTCCTTAAAACCTCTTAAAACCGCCTCAAAACCCTTTAAAAACCTCTTAGAACCCCTCAAACCCCCTTAAAACCCATTAAAACCACCTCAAAACCCTTTAAAACATCTTAAACCACATGAAAAATCCTAACCCTCCCTTAAAAACCCTTAAAACACCTTGAAATCCCTCAAAACCCCCTTAACTCCCCCTTAGAAGTCCTTAAAACCCACTTAAAAGCCCCTTAAAAACTCCTTAAACTCCCTTAAAAAGCTCTTTAAGCCCCCCTAAAAACCCCACAAAACCTTAAAAACCCCTTAGAGCCCCTCAAACCTCCTTTAAAACTTCTTAAACCCCATTAAAAAATCCTAACCCTCCCTTAAAAAAACCTTTAAAATCCCTTAAAAAAATTAAAAACCTAAAATATCCCCAAACCTTAAAATCCCTTTAAAAAAGCCTTAAAAAAACCCTTAATATCCCTTTAAAACCCCTTAAAAATCCTAAAACCCCATTAACCTCCCCTTAAAAACTCTTAAAAAACCTTAAACTCCCTTAAAAAACTCTTTAAAGAACCTTAAAACCCCGCTTAAACCTCTTTACAACCCTTTAAAGCCCTTAAAAAAATAATCCTAAAAACCCTCTCAAAACCCCAAAACTCCCTTAAAAACAACTTTAAAAACCCTAAAAACCCCCAAACCTTAAAAGAAAACTTAAAAACTTAAAAAAGCCTTAAAAAAAACCCTTAAAATCCCTTTAAACTCCTTTAAAACCCCTTAAAAATCCTAAAATCTCATTAACCCCCTTAAAAACTCTTAAAACGCCTTTAAAAACCCTAAAATTCCCTTAAAAACCGTAAAATCCCCTTAAAACCTGGCTCGAACCCCCTCTTTGTCCCCCAAATTCCTTCAATCTCTGCAAACCAGTGGAAAAATGACATTGGAAAAAAAAACCCAAAAAGCCAAAAAAGCACATTTTTATTAGAATCAAAACGCCACGAAAATCCCTCGAACCTCTGAAAATCCATGAAAAAAAGGGGGAAGGGGGGGTAAAAAAAAAAAAAAAG